CACACACACTACACACACACACACCATACACACACACCACACACACACATAAGAGGAAGAGGGAGACGAGTGAAGATCTTGGGGCCCACAGGGAGGGAAGTGGAGACCTGGGACCCCAGACCCACAGGGGATGCCTCTCCTCTTGCCGTGTACCTGGGGAAGGACAGGAAGCAGCTGAAGCCATCTAGGGGAACAAATATTTGTCGAGGGAGGGGAACCTCAGTGGAGGCGAGGCAAGGACCTTGACCTGCCCCACACCCTTTTCCTCTAGCTTCACTGACAGGAGTGATTCCACTCCAGTTACCAGGGGTCAGATAGGGAAACTGAGGCCAGCAGGGGTTAGCTCACTGAGGGACATAACCCCACCTGCCTGCATCCTGGGTGAGGTTACTTGTCTTCCCATATGGCTCTGCTTCTTCTCATACAGCAACCCATCTCACAGTGAGAGAAACTGAGGCTCAGAGGCAAAACCATTCCCAGGGCTATCCAAGCACTCCCCCAGACAGTTGCAAGGGGATTCTCAACCCCCTCCTTTTCCCCAACACCCCCATGGACACTCAGATCTAGGAAGTCAACATGTCCTACTGGGAGAGAGAGCTGAGTTCCAGCCCGTCTCGGGTGCCTCAGTCTCCCCATCTGTGAAATAGGTAGGTTACGTTTAACCACTTAGCCAGGCATGGTGGTGCACACCTGTTATCCCCTTAGATGGGAAGTGGAGGCAAGAGAATCAGTTCAAGGCCAGCCTGGGCTATAAGACTCGCTTTCAAAAAAAGAACTTGCTTTGGGGTTCAGTGTTCAAGCAGGGCCTCCCCGTCTCTCTGCCTCGGTCCTTATCTGGGAGTCTCACCTCATTGTCACCATCACTGGAGCCAGAGAGCTGGGACAGGCGGCTGAGGTCCCACAGAGAGCGGCTGGGCCTGGTTGGGGGACCACTGGCTGTCCTGGTACGCTGTACACTCCTCAAAATGTCACTGAGAGCTGGCCCTGCGGTGGCGGGGGTCTCCCGTCTGTCCCCCTCGAGGATGTGGCAGGCAGCCAGACGGTGAGCCAGAGGCCTGTCGGACAGCAATGGGACCACAGGACGGCGTAGGGCCACGTGGTGAGGGCTTCGGGGCAGCTGTGAGCCCTCAGAAGGGCTGGACACCGGGCTTCGAGCTGGTGCTGGTGGGAGAGGCCTGGAAGCTGCATACAGGACACGGAACTCCTGGCTGAAGGCATCCGCGATTTCTCCTGTGAGCAAGGTCACCAGGCCTCGGTGCAGGCGTGAATCACTCCATGTGAAGCTAGGGATGTAGAGCGGTCGTCAGGATCTGTGCAGGGTGGCACCCACCCCAGTCCCCAGCTGCTATGATCTTAAGTCATGATCTCACAGGCCTCAGCTCCTCTGGTGAGTAGGACAAGAAGTATCTACCCTGCTGCTTGTCATAACCAACCTGGGGACAATATGAGATAAGATACTTATATCATCAAGCTGGGCCTCGTAATAGCGGCTGTAATCCCAGCACTCAGGGGGCTGAGGCAGGAAGAATTACACAGTTCCAGAAAAGCCTGGGCTACGTGAGACTAAACAAACAAACAAACAAACCCAGGAAAGCTGTATACTGATCACCTGAAGTCAGATGAGCTTCAACAACATGGGCTCTGCTCTGTCCCCCACTGAGGGATATCTAATTGCCTCAGTTTCTTTATTGTGAAATGGGGTTGGTCTTCTAACACCCACAACAGGACCATTTTAACTTCCACAGGCTCCCCAGAAATGCTGCATTTCCTAAGCATGTACACTGTACACCAGGATCCAAGCAATACATCTGCCACATAGAGCAAGTGCCCTGCATGGGTTGCCTAGGGTGGTACCTGCACTGTCCTCGTCCTTCACATGGCTGAGGCTCTAACATCTCAGGGCAAATGTGAACACATGACACAGTAGGGATTCCTCTTACTCAGTTCAGGGGCCCTGCACGTGTCAAATACCCCACTATGGCCTCAGTGGACCAGCGTTAAAGCAAGATCTCCACGTGCAGGCAGAGCTCATATCAGCACGAGCGAGTTAGCATTATGTGAGGGTCCTTCGAGTGTCCTTACCTTGGCAGGACAGTTCTGGTCCCTTCAGCCTGTGGTGGGACAGGCTATGACCCCTCCCCCACCCACAGCAGTCAGGGAACCTGAGGGTCTGTGAGGTCACCAAGTTCCATGGCCCAAAGGCTTGAGGGCAAGGGTGCTGGCCCATCTCCAACCCAAGGACTCAAGAGCTCCTGAGAGGGACACGTTGTATTGGGAACCAGGAACACTCCAAGTGCTGACCCCTGAGCCAGGACGAGGGGCAGGAGGTGCCATCCAGGAGGTCACGGGAGCCCCCGGCCTGGCTTGGGTGCTATCCACGCCGCCAGGCCACCATGGTCCTTGGCTGGCCACTGGTTCTGGTGTTGGTCCTGTGCCCGGGGGCGACAGGCATCAAGGACTGCGTCTTCTGTGAGCTGACTGACTCCACTCAGTGCCCAGGCACACACATGCGCTGTGGGGACGACGAGGATTGCTTCATAGGTCACGGAGTAGCCCAGGGCGTGGGGCCCATCATCAACAAAGGCTGCGTGCACTCCACCAGCTGTGGCCGTGAGGAGCCTGTCAGCTACATGGGCCTCACCTACAGCCTCACCACCACCTGCTGCTCTGGCCAACTCTGCAACGGGGGTGCTGGTTCTGACACAGGGACCCCCAGCCTGGCCCTGAGTCTGCAGCTGCTCCTGGGCCTGTCGCTGCTACTTCAATACTGTCTGTGACCTACAGGAACTGCAGGGCCTGGGGCTGTGCCCTGTGCCCCCCGCCTCCACCCCTTCCCCCCATTAAATGGCCAGAGGTGCAGTCTGCCTCCTGTGGCCCTGGCTTCCTCCGGGCTGGCAAGGCCCCTGACATGCCATCGTGAGGGGTGCGGCCTGTGACTCTCACTGCTGTGCTGTGCCCCACTGGTCCTAAGACGCACACCTTTTCACTTTGCTCAGGTGCCTCTTTGTGTCCGCGTCACCTTAGAGTTCGTGAAATACGGTAAAAGACAATAATACCAGATGGGGTTTCAGAGCACTTTTTTTGTGGGGCAGGGATGCTTTTTGAGGCAGGGTGTCCTAGCTGAGGATGGCCTTGACCTGTGTGATCTCCTTTCTGTTGGATGCCACCACGTCCAGCTCTGAAGCACTCACGCTGCGTGTCAGGCACTGCTCTGTCCTCTGGCAAAGTCAAGAGGACAGTGACACTCTGAAGCATCGTGGTCTCAGGGCTGGAGGGTCTCAAAAGGTGAGCAGGACCAGCAGTGCCAGCACCAAGTGGGGACTTGTAGAAGCGCATGTCCCCACCAGTGGCCAGGTGAACGTAGACAGCTGTGTTTCAGCAAGCCTGCTGGGTAAGGCCTCCCTTACCCTTCTAGAATGGTGGTTCCTGGATGCACCTCATATCCTGGGTACCTGGCCACGTCTGGAGGATTCTGTGATTGTCATGCTGAGAATGGGTAAGGGGCACCACTGACATCTGCTAGGTGGAAGCTGGGTGAGGCTCGGTATGCACATGGAAGGGGGCCCACAATAGTCTGACCCCTACCATTTCATCCTGAAGGGAGGGTACTGAGGCACAGGAAGGGAGTAAGTTGCCTGAAGTCATACAGCTAGTAGCTAGCAGGGTTAGGATCTGAATCCAGGCCATCTGGCACCCAGAGTCCATGCCTCAGTTTCCCAAGTTGGGATTCACAAGGCGAGAGAGAGACACTTCAGGCCACTCCCCTGGCCAAGAGCAGAGACAGCCCTGAGTGATCTGGCGCAGAACACCTCTCCAGGAAGGGGAAATGGATGCATTTAAAGGTGAGCACAGAGCCCCAGAAAGGGTGTTCCTCTGGCGACCCCTCCCCCACCACCTGAGCAGTTGAGGGAGGACTGGGTACAGGGTGTCATGAGGGGACACACCTGTAGGATCCCGAGATGACCCTGTCACCGTCCAGCAGCAGAAACTTCTCCCGCACATGGCCGCTCACCTGCCGTCGCCTGCGGCTCTGGAAGGTGTGGCCTTGCACAGTCCGGACGTCCAGGTTCTGGAAAGGGCATAGTCTATGATCCCACGGGTACTGTCCCAGCATCCACAGGGCCACTGATACTAAATCTTAGATTTGGGGATACCTAGCTCTGCCTCAAGGATCCTTTTAGGACAGCCACCCCCTCCCCCAATGATATGGGTTTCAGATCTTAGGGAACCCCAGTGACCTACGAACCCATGCAGAAGTCCCCTCTGAGGACTAGGGACATTTAAATGTCTCTGGCCTGGTCCCTACCTCAGTGGTCCAGGGGTTCAGCCCCAGCTGCTGAGCTAGTGCCAAGAAGGCGGGCAGATGCTCTCGGTCAAGCAGTAAATAGACAGGTACCCAGCGGCGTGTGGCAGCATCCACCATGTCTGTGAGCAGGTCAGGGTCAGTGAAGACATCCATGACTACGGCCACCAGCTAGGGTGGGAAAGGGAGAGACACAGGATGGCGAACTGTGGCACCTCAGGCAGAGTGCCCTGGGGACATATGCTTCAAGGCCTGGCTTCCATGGGATGATCGGGGGCCGCAGGGAGACACCTACCCCAAATCTGTCCTGCATGGACGGCGAGCCAGGCTGCCCTTTAGGAGATTCCAGTTTCCAACTGAAAACTCTTCAATCCCTAGTTGACTACAGACTGTCCCTTACAATGCCAAAGGTCCACAGCTCCATGTCAGGGCTGGGTGCTGGCAGGCAGGCAGGCTAGTCCACTAAGGTGTGCTGAGAGCTTGCTTAGTCTTGCAGGCAGACAAGGTTATGGTGGCATCTGACTCATTAGCCAGGTCACACCGTACAACGAGCTGAAATCGAACCGTGCCTGTTTCCTGTGCCCTCTACTCCTGGCAGGCTGTACATACTAACCCACGTAGACCACTGGGCACTGGACCCAGGGAAACCCAAGACTGCTACCTAAGGAATGGGGCGTCAGGGGGCCACAGAGTGGGGAACCACACCCAAGGCCTTCCTGGAGGAAGCCAGAAGTCTCTGGTTTGGTATAAAAGGGGGGCTCCAGAAGCAGGGACACCAGGTCTCAGTAAGAGGCCTCCAGGTCTGGGGGGAGAGAGGGAAAAAGCCAGGGCCAGGGCCAGGGGAGCATGGGTATAACCTTGCAAATTCCAGGAGGGTATGGGGGAAAGCCTAGGCACTGGTGTTTGGGGGGAGGGGTGACACCCACCTTTCGAGCAGCCTGGATCTCCTGGCGTACCAACTCTTTAATGGGTGGTTGGCCTTCGCCCGGTGGCTGAGTGTAGAGCTGAGCTCGGGTGATACCCTTCCAGGCAGTGTCCTCCGGCCAGCCCAGCCGCAACACGGGTGCCGGCTCCTCAGACTGCCCAGGCCAGTAGGTCAGGCTGCCAATACTCCCATCAGGGACAGCGGTCGCTGGGCCTGCTCCACATGGCTCCTGGCTTGGTACTGTCCAGTCTTCAGCAGCTGCAGCGAGGGCCTGAGCCTCATCTGCACTCAGAAACGGGGGCAACCTCTCCTGCTGCACGCAGGCCCGGAAGGCCTCTTCCCCACTGCTCAGCAGTGCTTCCAGAGCTAGCCGCTGGCCCTCAGAGTACAAGAAGCCAGGGCTGGCCTTGGTCAGGGCTGGTTCACCAGCCTCCAGCCCCTCTCCTTCCAAGGCAGCCAGCTGGGAGGCCGCCATTGGAGTCACACAGGGCCTCCAGAGGCCAGTTCCTGGAAGGTCTGGATCGCTTTTGGGGTCTGACCATCTGGGGTTGTGTGATAACTATGTGGCCACCCAGGGTAGCCCTGAGTTTCCTGAAGCTGTCCCTGACTCAATCTCTACAGACTGTCCAGGCTGATTATCTGACCATCTATCTGATCACCATGTGCCTAATGGCCACCTGTCAGCCATCTCTCCCACTGTGGTACATTGAAGGGATGCCTCTGCCACTTGGAGTCAGTGGTCTTGGATGACCCTTAGCAGCTTCAGGCCTGTCAGAACGATTACCTGCCTGCCCTGATAAGCCTGGCTACCGGCCAACCACTTCCAGGTAAATGGCTGTTTGCATATCCCTGGTCGTCCTGACTATAATCAATGGCTCCAAGGGCTGCACCAGATCATTTTAGCACCCAAAAGACAGGAGGATCAGTTTCTGAGTCTCAGTAAACCTTCCTTCCCACCAGCTCCCACCGGCTGAGACACCTCCCAGTTAGGCCTGCCATGGAGACCATGGTCTTCCCTGCAGGTACTTGCCAGACCTTCAGTGAGAACCTTCCCAACTTCAGGGTAGGGAGGTGGCCTCTGCTGGGATCCTAAGACCAGTCTGAGCCCTAGGCAGCCACGAGTGCAGCCTTCCACCCACTAATCCAGAGCCTAGCCTGGGTATCTACCGGTTTCAAGGTCTCCTGGCTGCACCTACTTCCTGGACAGGAACCACCCTCTCCTACCCCATGTACCTCTCAAGTCTGGAGCTGGTCCCAGGCAACTGGCACCACAGAGCCCCGAGGAAACACTGGAGTATGGCCAGGGGTCCCTTCCGTGGACCCCCGAGTCCCACTGGGTCAGGCCGAGGACCGGCTTAGACGCTGCCTTTCCCTTTGTAGCTCTTCCGGGACTCTCCACCCGACTGGGCGTTGGAGCCAGGGACACAGCCCCTTGTGCAAATGCAGGGGGAGGGCCTCCTGGGCAGCTCGCTCAGGGACTGGCCATTGTCGTCCCAGCTTCCAGGGCAGTGCTCACCTGTTCCCACGCCTTCCCCACACCCCAGCACCAAGATCTCGGGAAAGATTAATCCTAGGAGGAAGCAGACACCCGACACCCAGCATGGGTGGGACTCTAATCAGAGGCAGAGCGCTGCACAGGAGCACACCACCCCTCCCCAGTGCTTTGCCCACCATGGGGGGGGGGGTCACCCATCCTGCCCCATCCCAACTTCATGAACACACAGGACCATCAACATTCAAAACGTTTTTTAATAACAGTAAGATCCAAGGTTAGTTTTTGTAGCCGCGGCTAGCCCTTCTGCCTCTGGCACGTTCGAACTTCCGGCCCTTGGAGCGGACATAGGGTCTGTGGGGGAAAAATGGGGTGAGAGAAGCCCAGCTCACAGTGGCCACTGGGGCCTGTTCCTGTAATGCCGGGAACTCCTTCTGGGCTAGGAGAACGAGAGCCTTCACGGGGACCACCAGAGATTGGTACAGGCTCTGGGTAGCCCACAGTTTTGACCACCCCCCACCAGCCACCGTGGCTAACAGCTATGGGGGACAAAGCCTGAGCTCTTTGCCTGATACTCACTTGGTATGGCTGTGTGGGGTTCCTGGGGCCTTGCCAAAATGCCGGTATACCTCTCGGCCCTTCCGAGGACCTGGCCAGGGAGGGAGAGTTTAAGTAGAGACCAGGAACTTTGACCCCAGGGAAGGCTCCCCAAACCCAGGCCCGCCCTCAATGCAACCCTCACTCACCAGACAGGAGCACAGTGCCACGGCCCTTGGGAGACTCCAGGGCCAGCTGGTCGAAGGTGAGGATCTTCCCCCCAGCCTTGAGGATACGACTTCGGGCGCGGCTGCTCACCCGCAGTGCACACACCTGAGGGGCAGACACCAGGCGCTGTGGGGACTGTCACACATCCTCACAGAGCACCGAGGACAACCAACTCCACCAGAACCGCTCCAGTGGATGGCAAACACCCCCAAAGCTTCAGGCCCAGGCAGAGTCCCTGTCCTTTGTTACGGCAAAGAAATGGAGGAAAAGCAGACGGTCCAGCCCAGGAGCCAAGCTGTCAGCAGTGCGCACGATGCACAAACGGCAGCAAGCCAGGGTGCCATCACCACACGGCACAGCTGGAGTTCGCCCGCAGAGGTTCCCTAGGCCCACGCTGGTCACTTACCTTCAGTTTAGGCACTTCGAGAATCCGCACATCATCTGTGACCGTCCCCACAACCACGGCTGTCTTGTTCTCTCGGCCAGGAAGCTTCATCTTTCGGATCTGAGGAGCAAACAGGTTAAGTCACTCTGCATGCACACCTGTCACCTAGAAGACCAAGACCGCCAATGGCCCAGTCCCCCCAACAATGACAAGTCTCTGAAGGCTCTGCCTGCCATTTGCTGTCTTTATGTACATGGGAACACAGGCCAGACTCCTCCTCCAACCTCAGCAGTCAACCAAGCACAGAGCTCTGCACTGCCTGCTGGCCTCAACACAGGCGACCGCGAGTCCTTTGGTGTCTAGTGCCCAGCATCCACTCCAGATCTATTTCTCCTGCCCAGGTACTAACCATCCGAGACAGGGACAGAGGTGGCCGGTTAGTGCGACTCATAAACAACCTTTTCAGCACAACCTGATTGAAGGTCGAGTTGGTTCGTCTGGCCAGAAACCTGTACAGCTGGAGGGAACAGCGAGAGTGGTCACGTGACTGCCCCTCCCCCCAAACGTAGGAAGTACCCAGTGCTCTCCCACCCCGCCACCGTCTGGTCCCCCTCTCCTGGCCGATGCAGTGGCCAGAGGCTTACCTTGACCAGCAGCCGCAGGTAGATGTCCTGGCTCTTGGGCTCCTTGCGCCTGACCTTTCGGTCCTTGTTGTGGCGAATGTCAACACCCTGTGGGAGGTGAAGGAACTACTACAGAGCCAATTCCTAACCTGGACAATCGCCCCCTCTGTTTGCTTTGTTTTCTCTTTTTCCAAGACAGCGTTTCTCTTTGTAGACCAGGCTGTCCTCGAACTCCCCGAGATCCGCCTGCCTCTGCATCCCGCCACCGCCTGGCTGCCCTGTTATCTTTGGTGACCTATACAATTGCTACTTATCCTTCAGGCTATTCATTCGACAACTCAAACCCAGGCCCACCACCAAGCCTCTCAGCAGCTTCAAACACTCTCAGTTAAGATTTCCAATCTTGTCTTGTTAGTGGTCCAGAGCAGTGACCGACAGTAACAGGCGTGGTATTACTACTGTAAGTTCCAGACAAACCAAAAATCCCAAAAGGACCCCAGGAAGACTAAAACCGGAGGGGTGGGTGTGTGCTCCGCCTACCTGACATTTCCCACGATAAAGTCGGGGCCTGTTAGCATCCCTCCCACACTCCTGAACCTCAGTGAAGCCCTGGCTCAGAATAAAAACTACGATGACATCCAGCCAGCTCAGTCTACCTCAGAGCAGCTGCTTAACGTGCAGAGACCCTGGGTTCTATGCCCAGTACCGGTGGGGGTTCGATCCTGGCAAGGACGCTTACTTCTCAAAACTGCCCCCAATCTGGAAAACTGCCCCAAAAAGCCAACAGCAGATTCTAGACATGGAAACATCTCTACGGATGACAAATGAGACGCTCACTACTTCAGAACAGCCCTAGGAAGGCGGAGGCTTCAGTTATCATCCCCACACGTTTGCGCCCACCCGAGCCAGACCCAATCCCGGGAACGCAGAGCTCCGCTTCCCACACCAAAGCTAAGGAAGCAGGGCCAAGAGGTGCTTCCAGCAGCAACCCGAGCACGCGAAAGGCCGAGGCAACGGTGCTGCCGCGAGTTCGGGGCCAAACTGGACCCGCGGTGAGCTGCGATCAGCCTGGGTTACAGAGTGAAACTTGGTAAGGGACGGAGGCTCCGGGGCGCCTAGGGCCGCCCGCCGGCCGCGACAGGTCCCCGCCGGCCCCCACCGTCTCCCCCGACACCCGCCGCGGCCGCCCGCACCCCGCGGACACGCTGCGAGCCGGCCCCGCTGAGGATGGCGGCGGATGGGGCAGCCGGGGCCCAGGGGCGCTCACCATGATGGCGTCTCCTGCCCGGCCAGGTCCAGAAAGACAGAACTGCGCCGGCGTGGGCGGGGAAAGGGCGCTCTGCGAGGCGCGCCCGTGACGCTTCGAGGACGCTCTACCCTGAGTCGTGTCTCTCGGTGGTGTATCGGTGACGCCACAAGGGTGCGACGCGGCGCTCTACCGCAACCTGGGTTTCTCCATGGTATATTGGAGGACCGGCTACAGAGGCCCTCAGAGCAACCACAGAGGAACCGATGCGGCACCGAAGAAAAGGGCCGGCGCGCAGAGCCGCTCTAGCCTTCCCCAGGCCCTGTTCTCTATCTTCTTCAGGGATAAAGAGCCCCGAGAGCGAGAGATATGCTTGGAGTTAGCAGCAGGAATCTCGCGGGGACTCTCTGGCCGCTCGCCGACCGCTTCTCGGTGGCTCCCGGAGGACCCGGTGGGCTGTGTTTTGGAGGTGAGGCTTGTCCCGGCCTGAAGAAAGAGCTAATTTCACATTTCCGGCATTTCCTTAAGTTCGCGGCTTCCTTTTCCTGATGTTCGGTTTATTAGGCGCAACTGAAGTGCAGGAAGCCCTGCAGGATCGCTAACCCGAGAGTTTCCCACGGCAACTCATCCTATAGTACCTGCCCGCCCTCCAGCATTTGGGGTTCAGGTTTTCCCTGCCCCTAGATGGCCTCTTCCAGATCTCTCCTTAGTCTCCTTCCTCAGAGAACGGCTTTCCCCCCACCCACCCCCAACCAGATAGTTTTAACTGACCCAACATTTTTGATGTACAAAGTATTGATGTGCAGAGAAGGCACGCGGATCCTCGGCCTGGCTCGGATCTGGGGTGGGAAGGGGATGGATAACAAGCTCCCGAGGTGTGGACAGCCCCGGAGAGAGTGAGACAGAGTCCATGGCGGGGGCGGGGTGGGGGTGGAGGCCTGAGGGTGAGAAGGGGAAAGGCGAGAGAACCCCCGGCAGAAGGAGACACGGAGGAGCGTTGGCACCTAGCCAGAATGTAGGCTATTCCGTGTGCCAGGTCTGCCACTTTTTTTTTTTTTTTCTTTTTTAAGTCAGGGTTTCACAAAGTTGCCCAGCCTGGATTCAGTGTCTCTGCCTCAGCCTCCCAAGTAGCTGGGATTACAGTCTTTCAACGTTCTGCTATTTTAAAATTGTGACCTTAGGTAAGTCACTTTCTGCTTTTTGTTTTTTTTCCCCTTGTTTGGAAAAAGAGTGATAACAACCCTAACAGGGTATCTTCCCTGCCTGTATAGGTCTGTGAACATGTTCAGTCAACACTTAGTACGTAACGCTAGGTAGAATCTGCTACCTGAACTTGGGTAGGACGAGTCGGGCTAGCTGGACGGGAGATGTTGGCTCTGGGACCCTGAGCCTGCGATGTGCCACTTGTCTTCAGACCCCCAATCTGGGACTGCCCAGTAAGCAGAGCTTTTACCCAGGACCCCCCCTCCCCCGCCCCCGTGCTGGGTTTGGGCGCTGCTGTGACAGAGCAGGGGTCTGGCTGTCCACCAGACATCCTGAATCCAAGGGACAGTGGAACCAGGTAAGGCTCTGTCTAGAGCCATGGTTCTCAACATGTGGCTCGAGACTCCTGGGGGGTCGTGCGCCCCTTTCACAGGGCTGCATATCAGATGTTTACATTGCAGCTCCTAACCGTAGCAAAATAACAGCTATGAAGCAGCAACAAAAATAGTTTTCTGGTTGGGGTCCCCACAGCATGAGGAGCTGCTGAAGGCAACACAGCATTAGGAAGGTTGAGAACCACTGGCCTAGAGTCCCCGGTTGTCTTACCATGGCTGAGAACATCTGGCAAGGCCCTTCTGCCATTGGCCACAGCCGTCCCCTACAGGCAGGCAGGTGGTCCTTTTCCACCTCACAGCAGCCGAGGCTATTCAGGGTGAGGCCACAGGATTCGGTGACTAGCACTTCCCCTTCCCTGCTCCCTTTCTCTGCCAGGTCTCAGGCCCTCTGGTCCTGGTTTCTGCCTTAATTTTTCTCAGAGCTCAGTGGTTGTTTGCCCAGAACCCCCATCCTGCTGAGGTCTCCTTCTCCCTCGGCATGTTCTCGGGGGCTGTTGCTGCTGTGGATTGGATGCAACGGACAGCTGGTTGGCGACTGCCTTCTCTGCTTACCTCCTTTCTATGAAGCTTTGTCCTGCCTTGTGAGAGTGTAGTTCAGTGTGGGAGTGCTGTGCCCCGGGTGCATGTGGACACACACACACGCACACACACGCACACACACGCACATGCTGTCTGCCCACTTGCTTTGCTCCTGGTTTCATTCCACCCTGTCTTACCTGTTTTTGTCAGCGTCTTTTCTCCTGGCCTTAGTTTGTCTCAGACTCTGAATGTGGGGCTTCCAAAGCCTCTTCTCTCCCTACGCCTCTGGGCTTTCTTGTCATGTGCTGTTTTCCTGGGCAGATGGTAATCTCACTCCACGCTGGAGTCCAAGGTAAACAGTTGGTAATTAATGAGCTTCCCCACTCTGGTTCTCATTCCAGAACTGCCTCCACCCATGTTGGTGATTTTCTGGGGTCTGTTATGTTGTGTGACACAAGATGTCCCATAACTATCACATACATGCAGCAAAGGCAGACCCTCCCTTACCGATGCTTCTGCCTCCCCCTCCCCAGTGCTAGAATTACAGGGTCCGACCACACACGTCAATCTCAGTGTTCTCATTTCTTCCTTTCTATCTCTGCTTTGCGTCTCTAACTCCCTTTGCGTGTCGTGTCAGACTCTGTTACCTACGTTAGGGAGAGTTGCTCTCCGCAGTGGGAGAACTCACCCACGCCCCTTTTTCTTTTTTTAAACTCTAGTGGGACAGGCCGTTTTGACCTCAACAAAGATGGCCAGTTAGGCTTTGCCTAGGTCCGCGTCCTTACCTCTGCTGCGTGTGTGCCCTCACTTGTGATGGGGCCTCCTTGCTCGGCCAAAGCCCCTCCCGGTTTTCTCACTCGGCCGGTCAGGTCCCGTCGCGTAGTTCCGGAGGGGGATGGCCCTGGCCTCTCATTGGTGCGGCTCCGCCTGGCTGCGCAGACATTGGCTGGGCGGACGCACACCCTCCCCCCCCACCCTTTAGCTGATGAGGGCGGTAGAGCAGGCTCTGGAGGGGCGGCCGGGAGGACGCGGCATGCGCACAGGTTGTGGGGTTCGGGGTGACCCTAGAGGGGCGGGAACTCAGGTCCGGTGCGGAACACTTGGTGGGATCTGGAAACGGAAAGCCAGGTCCATGCCTGGGATGGAGACCCAGACTCGGGGCTGCGTTGTGGCCCTGGAGTAGGGGTACACACCGGGGACAGACTGAAAGGACGGCCGGGAACCGTGGATGGAGGCCCAGATCTGGGGTCCCGGGGGACCGAGACCCGACCCAGCATGGAGCATGTATAAGGGCCCTGTGCTGGTGTCTGATCTGAGGGAGGTCTGGAGGTGGGGGAGACAGCTGGGCATTGAGGAAGCGGCCCGGGGCAGCGGGCAGAGGTGGATCCCGAGGGAGAGTCTCCATGGGGGCGTGTCCCGGCTGCTGTGAGCCCGAGGTCAGTGGGGCGACTGGATAAGTCTGCCCAAAGGTGAGCAGTTAAGAAGAGGCTGGACCTTCTGCAGAGCAGAAGGGACCCAGCCCTGGCTCTCCCCTCTTCTCGGAGAGAAGGCGGCCGGCCCGTCAGGTTAGTGGGCCCAGACAAACCGGCTGGTGGGCGCTCCCGTGCGGCTCCTCTCTGACGGCTCTGTGTCGTGTGCGCTCTCTCCCGACGGTTGCTTTCTCAGTGGGGTGAGAAACTTAACTATCTTATTGCCCTGTGCCTCAAGAGCTGCTGTCTCCTCTGTTTCTCTGCTTTTCAGGGCTGCCCCTTTCTTCTCTCTGTCTACGCGTGGACACGGTTCTTCCCTCTACCTAGCAGTGACTCAGTGTGTGGGAGGGGACGGTCTCTCTGTCTCAGCCTGTTTTCTTCCTGTCTCTGTCATCCAGTTGTTCCCTTCCCCTCAAGCCCATCATCACCCAGTAGACCATGCTTCTTACCCTTTGGCCACCTTTTTTTTTTGGGGGGGGGTAGTTTTGAGACAGGGTTTCTCCGTGTAGCTTTGGCTGTCCTGGAACTTGCTCTGTAGACCAGGCTGGCCTCCAATTCAGAGGTTCACCTGCCTCTGCCTCCTGAGGGCCGGGATTAAAGGCGTGGGCCACCACCGCCCGGCTTTCTTTCCTGTCTTGGGGTTGACGTGGGTTTTTGTTGTTTCTTTGTGGGTGGGGTTGTTTTTGAAACAAAGTTTCCCTGGCTGGCCTTCACCTTGGGGCTGGACTCCCGAGTGCTGCTTGTAGGCACCGCTGTGCCTGGCTGTCTTGAGTTTTAAGCAGTTGTTGCACACAGAGTCCTGAATAATTATCTGAAAGTTAGAGAAACGTTTTCATGCCTGGTTTGGCTTCCCTGCCCTGCATCATGGGGTCTCTCCACGCTTTCCTGGTCTATGGTGTCCCTTCCCACACTCTCACTGTCTCCTCCTCACAGGCCCCTCCTGCCCACCTGTCAGGAGGATCCAGGATTCTGACCATTGTCTTCCTCCCTCCCCAGAGGCTGGAGCAGGAGCTGACCACAAGCCAGGGGTCTAGAAGTGCTCGGGCAGGGCTAAGGCCGTCATGGCCCCGCCGCCACTACTGCCATCGGCCTCCAGCACTCCAATCCTGCACGGCGAGTTCGGGTCCTACCCGGCCCACGGCCCGCGCTTTGCCCTCACCCTCACCCCGCAAGCCCTGCACATACAGCGCCTGCGCCCAAAGCCGGAAGCCCGGCCCCGAGATGGCCTGGTCCCTCTGGCAGAGGTCTCGGGCTGTGGCACTCTGCAGAGCCGCAGCCCCGCAGACAGCGCAGCCTACCTGTGTGTCTACACCTACCCGCGGGGCCGGCGCGGGGGTCGGCACAGAGCTACGCGGACCTTCCGGGCCGACGGGGCCGCCACCTATGAGGAGAACCGTGCAGAAGCTCAGCGCTGGGCAACGGCCCTCATGTGTCTCCTCCGCGGAGTGCCTCTGTCCGGGGACCAGGGTGAGATGGCGGGCCAGAGCCACATAGGTGTTTGTGTCTTTCTTTCTGGGTCTGTCTCAGAAGCGTGAGCGCCTCTGCTCTCGGCTAGAGTGTCTGTCCCTCCCCGGACAAGAGCGGAGTACCAGGCCCCCAGGGGTGTGCCCAGGCCCCCAGGGGTGTGCCCAGGCCCCCAGGGGTGTGCCCAGGCCCCCAGGGGTGTGCCCAGGCCCCCAGGGGTGTGCCGGAAGACTGGCTGAGCATGGTGAGGCACCACAGGTCTCCAGGGTTCTCAGGCAGCCCAGAGGTGGCCTGATGCCCCGCTCCACAAGGGAGGAGGCTTTCCGGCAGGGCCTCACTCACCCAGGGCCCCCACTTCCCGTAGGAGCCCCGCAGGCCTCGGGCTGCTCAGGGCCAGTGACAGCGCAGGAAACTGATGCTGGTTAACAGGTGTCCGGGGATCCAGGCTCCTTTCTCCACCTGCCACACACACAGGTGCAAAGGGCACATATCTGCTTTCCCAACCTTTCCTCAGCACCTGTGTGGAAGAGCCGGACCGCCCACACTGGGCCGCCCGCACTGGCCAGGTGGCGGGAGGGACACTCCCAGCAGGCCCTGGGTACCTGCCCTTGAGTTATCAAGTCTCTTTGGGGCCCCGTTACCAAGAGGAGGAGGCCTGGGCTCTGGCAGATTCAGTCCTTTCTTTCTCTCCTCCTCCCTCCACCTCTCCAGAAATCACCCCTGAGCTACTGCCCCGGAGGCCCAGGCTGCTCATATTGGTTAATCCCTTTGGGGGGCGGGGCCTGGCCTGGCAGCGCTGTATGGACCACGTGGTGCCCATGATCTCCGAAGCTGGGCTGTCCTTTAACCTCATACAGACAGGTATGGTGGAGGGGGGTACTCCTGGATCTTCTGGAGGGGTGTGGCGGGATGAGGAGGCTTCTTGGCTAACCTTTGTATTTGTCCACTTAGAACGACAGAACCATGCCCGTGAGCTGGTGCAGGGGTTGAGCCTGAGTGAGTGGGAAGGCATTGTCACTGTCTCCGGAGACGGGCTGCTTTATGAGGTAGAGCCACAGACAACCTAACCCTGCCCTGGGGGGAACTGGAGAGGGTAGTGAGGACCCAGGCAGCCCTATCCCAACTGCAGGTGCTGAACGGGCTCCTTGATCGCCCAGACTGGAAAGATGCCGTGCGGATGCCCATTGGGGTCCTCCCCTGCGGTTCCGGCAATGCACTGGCTGGGGCGGTTAACCACCGTGGCGGGTACGTTGACTGCTTCTGCCTTTGGGGTGAGCCTCTGGGACCACGTGGTCTTGTCACGTTGAAGCCTCCCACCCCCTTCCCCTGACCCAGGGCTAGATCTGCACTTGGCCCACAGAAGGCCTCTAGGGGTGCTTGGAGGACTGGGGGTGTGTCCCCTGGTGGCGTCGCTGTTCGCACGTCTCCCCCCCCCTCCCCAGTCGCTCCCCCCTGTGACGCCCATGTCCCTGCGCAGGTTTGAGCCGGCTGTCGGCGTGGACCTGCTGCTCAACTGCTCCCTGCTTCTCTGCCGCGGTGGCAGCCATCCTCTGGACCTGCTCTCGGTCACGCTGGCCTCGGGATCCCGCTGCTTTTCCTTCCTGTCAGTGGCCTGGGGATTCTTGTCGGATGTGGACATCCACAGCGAGCGTTTCAGGGCCCTGGGTGGCGCTCGCTTCACCCTGGGGGCGGTGCTCGGCCTGGCCACACTGCATACCTATCGCGGACGCCTCTCCTACCTCCCCGCCACCACAGAGCCAGCCGTGCCCATCCCAGGCCACAGCCTGCCTCGGGCCAAGTCGGAACTAGCCTTGGCCCCAGCCCCGGCCCCAGCCGTCACCCACTCTCCCCTGCACCGTTCAGTGTCTGACCTGCCCCTGCCTCTGCCCCAGCCTGCCTTGGCCTCCCCTGGCTCCCCTGAACCCCTACCTGGCCTTTCCCTCAATGGCAGTGGCCCAGAGCTGACCGGGGACTGGGGGGGAGCCGGGGATGCACCTCTGTCCCCAGACCCACTGCTGCCCTCGCCCCCCAACTCTCCCAAAACAGCTCAGCTTTCACCCATCACCGAAGGGCCCCCGGAAATGCCAGCATCCTCGGGGTTCCCACCTCCCACCCCCAGTGCTCCGAAAGTCTCTACCTGGGGCCCAGCAGACCACCTTCTTCCCCCCCTCGGCTCTCCACTGCCCCCGAACTGGGTGACAATAGAGGGGGAGTTTGTACTCATGTTGGCCATCTTGCCCAGCCACCTCAGTGCGGACCTGGTGGCCGCCCCACACGCCCGACTTGACGACGGCGTGGTGCACCTCTGCTGGGTGCGCAGCGGCATCTCCCGGGCCGCGCTGCTCCGCATTCTGCTGGCCATGGAGCACGGAAACCACTTCAGCTTGGGCTGCCCGTACCTGGGCTACGCTGCAGCTCATGCCTTCCGCCTCGAGCCGCTCACGCCTCGGGGCGTGCTCACTGTGGACGGGGAGTTAGTGGAGTACGGGCCCCTGCAGGCGCAGGTGCATCCCAGTCTCGCCACACTGCTCACTGGGCCTGCGGGCCAAAAGCCGTAAACCTAAGGGAGCCCGAGACACGCCGTGGTGGGACTAGAGCACCAGAGGCTATGGCCTGGCTTTATAGGTAGAGGCAGGACCGGGATTCAGAATAGCGAGAGTGGCGATTGGGTCTGACCGAGCGGAGGGCGGGGCCTTGCCTTCCTCGCTGTCCAATGACGGGGCCTGGAATGTATGAGCTAGCAAGGCCTCAGCTCATTGGCCAGCCAGGGTTTCTTCTTGCTTACTCCGGTGCCTCCACTTGACTGGCCAATCAGCCCTTGAGGGGCAGGTTCCCCCAGGCGGTCCCCAGGATTTGCACTAATGGTCCGCCCCTTGCCGGTGAGGGGTGGGTAAATTCACTTCTCATGTTCTGTCTTGTGTGTCCCTGGTCTAAAAAGCAACTGAAAAGGTCTATGCAATAAAGGCGTCGCTTTCTTCTTCGCCCCGTCCACCTGATGCCCTTCAGTTAATACTGCCCTCTAAGGATCACAGCAGATGCACCCAACTCGGGCTGCTGCTGGCTTTGACTCAGAGCCAGTAGCTGCTCTGTCCCCCACGACAGCTGGCTCCTGGGTTCTCAAGATTTATTCAGGATTGTGTTGACGACGGAGGCGGTTGGGTGGATAGGTTCCCCGAAGTGCTAAGAGCACACACAGGACCCTCCCCACCCCCACGAGGGAGGTGGGAGATGGCTAGCTTTTCTTAAAAATATAAATGTATTTGTCTGTATCATCACGTCCCTGGGGCACCTAGCTGGCCAGACCATCAGCCATGGGACAGGAGGGAGGAAGTGACAGGTGCAAGTCTGAGCAAGGAAGAGAACTCGGCCCGGGCAGGGTGGCCGTGGCCTCACAGTGTCCCGTGCTGGGCCTGATAGCGTGAGAGCACAGCACGGTAGTGGGACAGCTCCTGCCGCACAGCCACCACCTCCTGCCGCAAGAGGGCGTTCTCCTTCTCCAGGAAGGCTGCCCGCACAGATATCTGATTCTCCTTGAGTCTTCGTGCGTCCCGAGACCTCTTGGCTGCCTCGTTATTCTTGTACCTCCGGCTCCAGTACTTCTCATCCTGGGGGGGAGGGTGAAAAGGCACTGAGATCCAACAGAGGGACAAGTGGCCGGTTTGGAAACACCCCCACAAGCATCCCCATCCACGGGCCTGCTTCTGCACAGCAGTGAGAACTAAGGGCTACCAGCCTTTGCTGGGATAGGCACCCGAAGTTATGCTGTCCACTGCCCTAGCTGCTAAGAACAGGGCCCTAGCAGAAAGCTAAATCACAAGATAGACTCCAGGTACACATAGGAGAAAAGCTGGTCTTCAAAGTCTCCACCGTGCAGAGCAAGCCTCCCCACTTGACAAGGACCTACGGAAACTTGGTTGCGATGGATGCTTGTTACCTAGCAACGGGGCCTTCAGGGTCTAAAGGCTTATCCCATTGAAGAGCACCCTGCCTCAGAATTCACCTTTCCAGACCCTGGTTGCTAAGGAAAGCGTGGATAGCAACCCAGTGATGGGTTTGGTGTCCTGGTTGTCAAGGTAACCTCATCTCAGCAAGTAAACTTAAGCTGTAAGTAGACCCAATGATCCTACCCAGTCTCTTCTGTCCTTGAACTGATGTAAGGGAACTGTCTGCCTCCCCTTCCTCCCTCCAGTACCTAACTGAAGGAAGAGGTGGAAGCTGAGGCTTCCCTTGAGAATTACACCATGGGTCCCCTACCCAGCTGGGAAAAATACTTCCCTCAGTTTTCTCTTAAAGGTTCCAGCTTGCCAGGACACATTCATTCCCTAGCAACAGCTGAGCTCTGTAGCAGGAAAAGCCATTGGTATAGACTGGGTTTCTTAGATGGAACTAGATGCTGAAATGGCTATGATCCAAGGCCATGGCAAAGACGTGAGAGAAGTCCAAGTACCTCTTCTTTGCTGGCAGAGACCCCAATAACAGCAAAACCAGAATGGTAGAAGGATGCATGTGCTGCTCTAACCCCCCCAAATTAGAACATGGCCGGTAAAGGATGACCCCAGGCAAGGGCAGTCCTATGGATGTTTCCGGTTAAAAGCCAAAGACCAGCTCCAGCCAGGCCAGCTGCTCAGCAGCAGGCTGACGGGGCACTAAAAAAGCTGTAATTAGCAACAGCCCCTGGGAACTTGAGCCCTGCTCCACGGGGGTTCGAGGGCCAAGTGACTGGACCACAGTGACACCATCTTTGTGACTCTCAGGACAGCCTGTCCTCGGGAACCTCACGAACCAGGGTATGTCTATAGGCCACAAGACTCCGGGACCTCATCCCAAAGAGAAGTTTCCCACAGGTAGGGGCAAAGGCAGTTCCTGACCAGTCACACCCCACCTGGTCACGCTCACCTTCTGTTCCTCGGGCACCTGGACTTTCCTTGCCTTCTTCATGATTGGCTGAGGCTTCAGTTCCTCCTCTGAGAAGCGGTGTCTCCGAGGGTCAAAAGTCTCATGGCCTGGAATGCTTGACAGGGCAAGATCAGCTGGATCAGGTTCAAAGGTCATTAGCACCTCCACGGTGTCTGGGTCCACAGGACTGGGTGTGTCCCTAGAGGTCAAGCCTGGAGAAATACACACCACTTGAATGCCTTGAGTATTTAGTTTGGGGACTGCTTTCTCAGGGGTCCCCTCCACCTTATCCACCACAGGGTAGTCTTTCCTGCAGTCTAACACAAAGCCTGCCTGTCAAGCATCAACCCTATGACCAAGACCCTTAGCCACCACGAAAGCAGTTCTACCTTTATGAGTAAAGGCACAGATGACTGGACTTAAATACCCCGTGAGTCTGCTAAGAGCTTCTAAAACCTTTTGTTGTTGTTGTTGTTGCCACTCTCTCGTCTGAGTCCTACTTACTGAATTCTCTGTATGCTCAGAGTTTAAACCTGTCAGACCCACTCCTAAGAGTGATGGAAAAGCAGAAGCTGCTCCGAGGTTCCAGAAGCTTGGCTACAAAAGGATGGTGCCTGTGTCTTTAAGAACAGACAAGCCGGGGCCAGCTGAGGACACGGGTTCAGGGCCGAATCACGTGTAGCTGACAGCTTCCCTCCCCCTCTGCCCCCCCACCACGCACCCTCACGTTCCCGGGCCCCGCCTCCTCGCGCGTGAGAGCGCGTGCGCGCAGCAGGGAAGGCGGACTCACGTGGCGCGGGAATGTGCAGCACTGTTTTGCCTGGAGGTCGGATCAGGGACAGGTGTACCCAGGTGTCCCACAACGAGACTCTTTGTCTTGATAGGGGTCGCCTCCCCTCTTGTTCCTTTTGGTCTCAGCTCCAACATCTCCAAGGATCCTATCCACCCACCCCGCGCTTATGGGGATCGTGGGAGAACCGGCCTGACAAACCCTTTGCCATCCAGACTCCCACACTTCTGAGATCCTAGGTCCCCGTCGCAGGAATATGGGGAGCTCCCTCTGGACAATCCAGAATCGGGACCCCGGCATTTTCTGCTACAAGACTCTGGGAGCCAGGATGCAACACCCTCCACTGGCAGGGGGAGTGGGGATCCGGGAACCTAGTGTCCAGCTCTGGCCTGCTCCAATTTTAGATGTCCTTGAAGTCCAGTCCCAAAATTCTGGACAGAGACATGGAGTCAGTCCGCTCCCCAGTTAACTAAGGTGTTCTGAGTTCCTAGTCCTGGCTCCAGGAGCATGAGGAAACTTTATCCTAGAGAAAAATACAGCCTCTCCCGGGATAATCAATCCTCTGACATTTAGGGGCCCAGGTTCCCTAAAGGGTCGCCGCATCTCATCGGGCAGAGTCCCAAAAGCGCCGCGAG